TATAAACTACCAAGTCACACAGTTGGGTACGTTAAAAGAAAAATATTTTTTTTTTTGGAAAAAGTCAATAGTGAACAAGAAAATAATGATCAAAATTTTGGTAGTAAATTTAAATACAATCAGTGATAAAATCGTCAGTGTTTCGGTGCAAATTTGTGATTAATTAAGACGAAAAATGCCCTATACTAACATCGAGTACGCGGACATACATGTATCCGGAAAATCGAGCACCTCCTTGAAGGGGAGTAATTGATTAGTCCCCCAGAGTACTAAAAAAATGTTTATTCTTTTTTATAATTATTTAGTAAAGGTACAAAAATTTTGCCAACAAAAGCCATATAATAACACCAAAAAAAGTTACAATTTAGAATACAGCTTCCTTGTTTCCTCTTTTAATAGCCCATAGCAAAAAATCTTGGAAAATTATTTTTTCAACAGAAATAAATAGAGTTAAAGTGCAAAATTTAAACTCCCATATCTTTTGAAATTTTTATAGATAGATTTTTTTAAACATTTTTCTTGTTGTTTAGGACACCGCCCGATGTTACAGTGTCACGGAGGTGCGTGTCTTTCCGGACAACCTGTAGTGAACTGTTATGGCTTAGCAGACGTTAATGGAGAGCAGGCCGGTTTATTATACCAACAACGTTTCCCCAACGGCCCCGTTCCTAGTGGTCAAAACGGTCATCATTTTCAGCATCTATTGTAACGTTTACCAAAGTACCGTGCGATCAAAATTAAAAAAAAAATTAGAGTAGGCGTCGATTAAATTCTACAGTTGGCAACACATTGGCTGGGTATCTGAGCTGGAAATTTTCCACACAAACTGAAAGTGAAAATGACCATCCACCGTTTTTCTCTTGTACAGCAATAAAAATTTTCTGCTCTAAAGTGAACATTATTTCACTCAAAAGGAATAAAACGCAAACTTGTTAAAGTTTCCGCTGACATTTGATGTCAAAAATCAGGATTGCCATCTGAAGGACTTTAATCACCGACTACCCTAATTTATTTTGTTTTTGATCGCACGGTATTAATAAATGAGTTTTTTAAAAAGAGAAATATTATCATCTATAAACTACAAGAACGTCTATTATGTCGACTACTTTTTTTATTGCATTTCATAAGCAAAGCAGTGAGCGTCGAATGTAGTATGAGACGGGGTTAATTTTACATTAACGAATTTCAAATTTTTGACATTGCCAAAAGTTAACATTGCTTCTTCAAATATCATACTAAAAATTACGAAAAGTATATCAAAATAACCCTGTATAGTTAAATCTTGGTTTGTGTCTATGTTTAGCTTTAATGTTCTTATACCTTTACTTAAAAAAATAAAAAGAAAATAGAATACCTGTTGTGATAATGTGTACCTCTTGTGGAAGAGCTCTGTGGTATTGTAGCATGTTTTATTTATCTGCATTCTTTCTTTTATACTAGGAAAAACTCAATTTTCCAATTTAGATTGTATTTTCTGCGTTCTCTAGTTAACAATGCTTGGAATTTCTTGTATCCGTCGCTGCCTTAGACTGTTTGCAGTGTCGAACATCCGCAACATCCTTTCATTAGAAAATAATGAAAATATTTGTTCAATTTTGTTAAATGTTATTGCATGTTGAAATATTGTCTCCAGTGTTTCAGTTGGATATATTCCAAGAACTGAAAAACCTTGAAGCGATGAATGAAAGTGGATCCTGCAACAATAAGATGGGTTTGGCGGCGCGTGGTGTCCGAGGGCGGGCTGCGGCATAGTACATCTATAATTTTATGGGTGCCGTCGCCTCGTCTGCGATTAGGAGTCCTGCTGGTAATTGCGTGTGGGGTGCAGGTGGAGGGTGTCAGTGGCGGTTGCCGCAGGATGAATGGACGGATGAGATGCGCTGGTGCTGCAGTGCGATCTCCCATCACAGTGGCCCAGGTGGTCCGCAGTGGGCGGCGCCTGCGCCCTATTCTGCGTGCCCCGCGAAGTCAGGCCCGGACCTCAGTGTACCATACGCGTCGCGACGCGTCTGCCCGCCAACTGACGCCGCCGCTGCCGACCTGCACCTGTTGGAACGCCGCCGCCGGCCCGAAGGATGACTGATCTGTTGGACTCGAATCGGGCGGTCTTCGACGCTCTCTCCGGCACCCGGAACCGCTCGGAGGACGAGGACCACGTGCGCGATTAGTGCTCATCGGACTTATCAAGGAGGTCAATTTTAAAAATTTTCACATCTTGCTCAATGTAGTTTAGATAGTTTATAGATAGTTTTGGCAGTTTTTCGCTACTTTTATCCAGTTATCTTCCATTTTTACATAGTTTGTAGAAGTTGTACATAGGCTTCGTAATTTCGACCCTCATCCAAAATTAACGCAATAGTTCGAATTTAGAGTATTAGTTTTAAGGAGGGTTTCAAGAGACCAGTGCGACGATGGTGCTGTTTAGTTGGAGCTTTTGCAGTGATTAGTGTTGTGACTTCCTGGTGTTTGCACCGGTTGTGAAGTTTTTATTTCGATCGGGGGGTAAATGGTGATGATCCGCAATCATGACGATGTGGCAGAGTGGGATGGGGGGGCCTGGGGGCAAGAACAACGCGTGGATGAAACTGATGGGGATCGTCCACAAAGAGCGCCGACACCACGACTCCGGAGCCACTTCCACAGATCGCACACTTAGCCAGTAAGTAACCATTTATCGCACTATTCTTTGCAGTGCTCAAACGTTCCAAGCAAAAGCTCTCAAACTTATTTATTAATTTAAACATTTCCGTTTTAAATCGACTCAAATCGAATGCTAATCATTTCAACATGAGAACAATTTTAAGGAGAACTAAGTGAAAGATATTGAAAGAAAATTGCTTCTTTGACAGTTCTTATTGAAAAAAATCTCTTAAGACGATTACGCACCTAAAATATTTCAATATAAAGTGCTTCAATCTGATTTGTAAAATTACTACCTCAAACTTTGAAATATCTTTTTCCTTTGAGTGGTATTTAACAGTTCTAGAGTATTTTCAGCAAATAGAATCAAGAACCTTTCTATACAAAAATTTAGTTTTTAACTAAATTTAAGTGCAATTTCACTTTGATTATTTCTAAATGTTTTGTCAATGTTCAGTTTCAACATCGGCCCTTCAAAGCCTAACCGCAAAGCAATTTATTCCTGTATAAAGCGTCAGCTGCTAACAAAACATTTTTATTGAAAAAAATTCTTTGCAGAATAAAAATTTAAAAAATCAAACTTTCCAAAGCGTTGAACACCACTCAAAATCTCCATTTTGGGGATACTTTCAATTACCAATAACCAAAACTTGTGTCTTAAAACCCGTCCTGCATTTAAATATCTTGTTATCCTTAATTTAATTTTGTTTTCATAGCAGGACTATTGCGTTTGTTCCCCAATTTTAACGAAACAACGAGAATTTCTTTATTTTTGGGATTAGCGCAGAGATCGTAGCACCAAGCTGCAAAGTCATTAAATTTTAACCTTGTAGCCTCGGGCTTTGGGAAAAGTAAACGAATGAAGGGTAGAAGAAAGTCCCATTGTTTAAATAATTTAGTAACTTGCATAAGATCCTAGAAATGTTGCGTAAATTCTTTGTTACCATGATTTTTATTTCCTAATTTTTTAATGATACACTTAGCGTGTTTTCGATATTATGCTAGCGTTTTGTTGTCAGTCTTCAATGTAGCTGTCAGTCGTATGCGTGATAACGAAACTCGAGGCTGCGTGCGCTAGCGTTTAATTTACCTGAAAAGAAACGTTGCTGGAATCAGTCTTTATGAATAAATCATTGAACTTTTTTGATCTTTACTTAAGATAACAATCCATAATAAAGCGTTTGTTTAGAGGTTAAAGAAAAATATTTCTAAATGGAGAGACTTCGCTTGGAACGAAAACTCCTCCGAGGTTTACCTTAAATTTGCCTCCAATTTACGGAATGCGATCATGATTTTTCTGCTCTCAGCAAAATACAAGCGCAGTTTAAACTGTTTCTCTTTTATCTAGATTGTGATTTTAGTATTGATTTGTTGAATAATAAATTCATCAGTGTATGTGATATACAAAATTTAATTCTAGCACTGTCAGATTTAAATCAAAATGGCTAAAGTTATTCTAAATTTAATGCTGGATGGTTAATGGAAAAATTTCCATGGATAAATATAATGCATAAATAATGAAAGACAAATTATTCACGTGACTAACAAGGAAATGAAAATAAGTTTCGTAATTGTAATCGATCGAAAAATTTGTTTTTTTGATTTGTTTTTACAACGAATGTTCTATTGCTATTATATGCAAGTCCTTTATCCATAAATTCTCAAAATTAGCTTTGCAAATTTACTCACATTGACGAATGCTTTTTGTATTATTAAAAAGGTCCAGCGAGAGCTTTCCTTCCAAACACGATCAAGATAAAAAGCTTCACTGAATTTATCCCTCCTAATCCCGACGACCTTTCTAGCGAAAACTCGTGTCAAGAACACACTATTTATTATTTTCCTTTGAACAATAATTATGTCAAATGTATTTGAAACTTTGTTTTGCTTGTCTTATGTTAATAGTCTTCCTCAAGCACATTCTTGGTCGTTAGAGGAATTTTGCGAACTATTTACAGAACCTCCGTTTAAACGCAAGGAAATGCTTTACTCATTTAATGGTGGATTTTAGCATGAAAACGATAAATTTTCTGCAGGGACTTTAATGATTATTTTAAATGACTGCTGCCCTTAGAGAGTTAACCCAATTAAAGTGCACGTCCAAAGCTTGAATGGTAATTTGCGACGAATTTTTAATGCTTCAAATATTACTAATTTAAACTCTGCTGCAGTAAATTAGTTTAGAAATCGATGATTAGTTTTTTGAAGCACTAAATGTGGTTTTCTGTAGTTTTAATGCAGTTTTCTACTATTTAGGGACACATAATACACTTTTGTTTTATAAATTGTATTTTCTGCAAAAGCAACAAACCTTTGTTTCATTTTGCCATTTTATGTTTTTCTTATTACAGCTTTATTGGCTTTAAAGCAGTGAAATATCGCAAGAGAATAATTAGTTACATTAAAAACTTTTTATCATTTTTGTATTCTTATATAAAATTGAAGAATTTTCTAGACAAATATACATAATAAATTAAATGATTTTTTTATATTTTAAAGAAAAATTAAAGCTACTGCTTGGCTCTAAGGTGGTTTTAAATCTTTTCAAAAAATTCCTAAATTCAATTACTTGATTTGATATAAATACAGCACTTTGTTTACTGTTTGAAAGTTGGAAAATGTTCAAAAAGTGTAAAGATATAACATGTTTTACAGTTATTAATATAAGCTGTAAAACGTAGTTTAACCAATAGCTAATAACCTATCTGAATTGTGAAATTTAGTTTAGTCTTTTTTTCTTCTATTAAAACAATTTATTTGAAATATTTTTATTTTACTGAATTGGAAATAAACGTTATCATGAGCACTCGACAAAAAAGGTGAACGTGCCTTTTATTATGAATGTGAAAGTGTTTGTTTGGCTAATCGGTCTGTTTTTGTTCATATAATTCCTGTGGCATTCAAACAGTTACGAGTGGCTTGCATATGAGTATTGTTTTATACTTTTATTATTAAAAACATTAAATTATTTAAAAGAATCTTTGGAGGTTGTATAGTTTAAAATTTCTACTATACTTTGTGAACCTCATTACTATTTTTGCATAAAACAACCATTTCCATATTTTAACGCTAAATGAAAGTTCATCTAAAACATCCAACGCACTTCACTGGATAAAACCGAAATGTAGCTTTTTCGTTATATACTATAACGAGGTAGAAAACTTGATGTTTCTTTTCAACCTTTTCACGTTTACAAACTAATGGATTATAACAGAGGATTATAGCTACCTACTCTACTAAACTTTAGCTAAAAGTTTTTACACATTTTAATTCTGATCTAGTTTTATAAGCACTGAGTCTAAAATATTCTCAAAATTGATTTGTTCTGTATATATTTTCCCATGTTCATTTCATAAAGTTTTGATCATTTCCTTTGGTGATTTATTTTATTTAGTTGGGAGTTGCAAAATTCGGTCACAGTAAATTGTTTCATCTAAACTTTTCTCATTTCACCAAATTAATCAAGGGAAGGAAAAATGATCAAAATTAATAAAGAGTAATAAGGACCAACTGATTACTGTTTATCTTTGTCGACTAGGATTTTACTAACGTTGTAGGTTGTTTTCAGTGCAATTTGTTAAATCTTACAAACAAGATGTCATTATGACAACACTGTAAAACTTGTAGTGGCTTCTTGGGGGAAAATAACTGAAGTTGACGCTTTTATGTAGTCGTTTATTTTTCGGAAAGTGTAGGTGAATTGTCGAGGATTGTAAAGTGACGAGATTCAGAAATTTTGAAAAGTTTATTAAAGTTAATATTAACTCAACAGAAATTAAACCGAAACCGCCGATTAGTAATTGCTCTCTGGTTGATTAGTTTTGAACTTAGTTGAATTAAATTTAAAGTGCCTTTTCGTCTACGAGTAATTTAAGATGCTTAAAAATTAATGAAAGTTTTCGCCAAACTTTGGCAGCAATTATTCATTAAGTGTTTTGGGTTTCGTTGACTCGAAAAAAATGTCAAAACATTCCACCACATCTATCGAATAAAAAGTAATTTTTTTATTTTCACGTTTCGAGCTTGCGTGTACTATTGATTTAAATGTATTTTTATGTTTTTCTGGCCACTAATGACAGAGTAATCGTTATTAAAACAACCAATTTATTGTAATATGTAGGACAATTTCACTTTCCTATTATAATAGTGTTATTTCAAGTAGATCAATAATTTCGTTGTTGGTGGTTGGTTTCTCTTGTTTAACTCAATTGAAACAAAAACTTAGGTAGAAATATCACGAAGTTAAGCCCTTAAGTGGAAGTTGAGGTGAAGTTTCCGTCCGGAACATTGGAACAGTTGGATACATGTGATTTTGAATCCATTGTCTTATCCATTGCCAGGCAGAACTAACACAATTGTCAAACTTGATCTTGAAGTGTAGAAATAGTTTTAATACTTTTAATTCATAATTAATATAAAAAGTTTAGTATTAACACTTCCAAATTTAGCGTACCGGCTGATTATGCATTCTTACCAACCATTACAGAATTTTATGACCTATTACAAAAGTTTCGAAGCGAAATGTGGCAACTGAGAATATAATCGCAAGCAACGAATGCATCCCACAGGAACAGATTTCTATTGTATGTGCAATTTTTGTTTTCCTAGAACTGTTTGTTTAAGAATGTAGAAATACTTTATTTCCACATTCGGAATGCAAGTTACATACGTTAAAAGTTTAAAGATGTAAGACAATAAATTGGATATTAATTTGTAATTTTGTTTTGGAGTGTCTTTTTGATCGAATTACATTTAATTTTTTTACAATTACAAATCCGAGATGATCTATATTCATGCAAAATGGCGAGTGTCATGCATGTGTGAATTCGGATAACACAGGGCGACAAAAAAAAGTTATGTCGTGACAACTTGACAAATTATATATCACTTTGTTCGTCTCAGTGAGACGGTATATTCTTTTAAAAATTTGTATTACAACTAATAAAGAGAGCTTTACACGATGGTGATGATGAAAAAAAAAACTGTTCTAAGAAAAGTTTCCCAATATTCAATTTCAAT